TGCTGGAGCTCTAGCCATCACATCTGTCTTCCTGGCAGCAGGATGGAGGGGGGAGTCCTTTTTAGGACACCGTCTGGAAAATCCACGTCCATGCATGTCTCATTGACCACAACTGAATTCACTAAGCCACACCTATCTCTACTAGGGTCATTTAGCTGAGCCTGGCTAAAAATTGGGTTTCTGTTACCAGAAAGAGAAGGGAAGAATGGTAGTTACTTCAGCTGTCAGTATCTATGCTATGAATAGGAGGTGTGTGGTATTATGAGGGCATGTGATGAGAGCATATGCCACGAGAGGTTAGGCAGGGCTTCGTTGAGACAGTGACAGCTGACCTGAGAAGTAGGTCTTTGCCAGGCAAAGAGTGAGAGGTGTGAGGAAGAGCTCTGGGATGAGGGAGGAGCAGGTACACATGTCTGTGACAGGAAAGGGTGTGGTAAATGTTTGTGCTGCACCACACATCATACGCCATATGCTGAGAGACATGGTGGGCTGGATTCTTTGTCCTCTATCCAGACTCTTCCACAAGGAGTGGGGCCAGGATTTCTCATTACCCCTTTCTCTTATGGGTGATGCCCAGGTGGACTGGCCCACGAGGTCCCCTAGTGGTTGCAGCAGAGGCAGGGGTACAGAGAGACTTGACTTTGATTCTCAACTTGAGCCTTTCCTGACTAGGATACCTTGGCAAGGTGCTTAGCCATTCTACATACTATCTATTTCCTCGTTGGTAAACTGGGACTGACACTAATCTCTAAACCAGGGGCTCACTGTGAGGACCAAAAGAGCCGAAGCTGGTAAAGCATCCACGGGGAGTGTGCAGTAGACAGTGACTGCTCCTCTTATTGCTGTCACCTTCATCTTCGTCACTTTCCTCTCCTTCGCTCTCTCCTGAGCAGCACATTCTCAGTCTTTCCATGTACAAATGTATGACTGTGAAGTACCTCCTGCACCCAGATTTTCCCTAGGAATGTGCAAGCCCTCAGCATACACGACTCCTTCTTTCTGTACCTTCCTTTAGAAAAACGTCTTGAGGATGTACACAGTTATAGATAGAACCGTACAGTCTGGGGCATTAGGCCTGGAAGGAACCCTCACATAGTAAGTGAGGAAGTGGACCCAGAGAGGTAGAGCTGGGCAGACAGTGCCTGACTTGGTGGCTTTGGAGAAGAAAAGGTTTCCACTGTGTGGAGAGAAAGAGAAGTTGCATCACCCTGGGCCTCATGATGATGGAAGTTCCCAGGCTGGCTCTATGCACACCCACGAGACAATCACACAGAGAGGTAGAGCTGGGCAGACAGTGCCTGACTTGGTGGCTTTGGAGAAGAAAAGGTTTCCATTGTGTGGAGAGAAAGAGAAGTTGCATCACCCTGGGCCTCATGATGATGGAAGTTCCCAGGCTGGCTCTATGCACACCCACGAGACAATCACACGTGTATAGAACTCTATACCAGGTATGTAGGGATCCAAGGGTTTTGTATCTGTCTTTCTGGAAGAGATATATTTCTCTTGAAAGCCATCAGCTTGTGTTATCAACATGGTGTGGGGTGTAGATTCAAAGTAGTTACCCCAATTATCTTTCCCTGGCCTATTCTGTTAATATTCCCCGGATATATTCTATTAATAAGGTATCTTATGCAACAAGGAGAACACCAGTCACAGGTTAGAGAACTTGAGACATACATACAGGGTGGATACCTTCTCTGCCCTCATGGAGTTTGTAACTTAGCAGGGTAGAGAGGCATTAAACAAATAAATTATATAGTAATTATAGATGTGCTCAGAACCACAAAGAAAAAGCACAGTAACACCTTTATAGATCATCATGTCCAGGGATATGTTTTGCCATTCCTGTGTTCTTAGCCCACAGCAAATGTTGCTGATCAGTTACAATATTCTTTCCAATGAAAGTCAGACATGACCTCAAATCTTTTTCAACCTGGCCCTCTAGACAGCCATTACTAATCAATCAGAATTGGTTCTTGAAGCACACCTAATGGCCATCCAAGATGTGGCCCATTCCCCAGCCCTCTCTCCCCCATTCCTTTGCACAGACAGGCACACTGGCCGAAGACTGGAAAGCACATGCCACAGGACTCCAGCCAGAGGCTGAAGTGGACACAGTGTCTGGCTGGTCTGGCTCCCAGCTCAGGGCTTTGCACGCCATTCTTGAACGTTGGGGAAGTCGACTCCCAAGCAGTAGCGTCTGTGGCTGCAGATGATCTGATCTAAATTTGTTATGTTCTATTCGGAGAATGTTTTCAGAGGTCCAACCTGTTTAGGGCATTGCAAGCTGTAATTTACATTATTTAAACACTTCCATAGGAAAGTGGCTGTTTGTTCTCATGAAGAAAATCTATGCTTTGTGGAGAGTTTGAGGGCAGTCTTAAACTGAGGACATCACCGCGAAGGCCTAGTCTTTCATTTTCCTCCCTAGGATTTCTTCTCATGTGCTTAAATGGGTGAGTCAAAAAGAGGTGTTTCCTGCTCAACCAAGACAAAACTTCAAGAAAGAAAGAAAAAGAGAGAGAAAGGGCAGCTCTCCTGTCAGAGAGGCCTGTAAAGTCTGGCGTTTGTGCAGGATTTAACTTTGATATTTATTTTGCAGTTCATCAAACGTTTGTAATCTCATGGCCCCCTGTGCATTTCATACAGCATACGCTGTGATTCAGCAGAAGTGCTTTCCTAAGGAAACATACATTTTTCATTCCACAATGTTCTTGTGTCCAAGGTTTGTTTTCCATGGTGTGAAAAGATATTTGATATTTCAGAAACTTTTCTTTAAGTGATTCTCCATTTTAGCTCGATTTTTCACCTCTTGGTACATTTTTTCTGAACTCTTGAGAAGCCCTGGAGGAACTCATGAGCTTCCTTTTTGAATAGAGCAGCCATAGCTAGGAGGAAAGAATCATGAAAACATGGCTGTGTTCTTGTCTTCTTAAACTGGGAGACCTGTTTGAGATAAATGTGTTTGATATTGAGTGTTGGAGAGGTTGGGATCTGCTTTTCATAGACATTCTCAATACCATTTTGGAGATGTATCTGAGAGCCATTTGTTTGGGTTTATCTCTTCTACCCTTTGCTGGGCTCCATTCACAGGAGTAGGGGCTTAGGACAGATTTAAGAGGGCCCTGGTCGTGGTAAATATATATAGAGAGAGTTCTTCCCGGGGTAAAAAGAATGGAAAAGGCAGAAGATTCCAACAGAGACTATAGGATGTCTAATTTAGGTGTCTTGCATCTTCTAGCACTTGTCATGTGATAAAGTCTGGAGAGTCAGAGAGAAAGTCTGCAGTCACAATTCTCAAGTGTTTGTGGCCTTTATTCATGTTCGAGTTGAGTTGAATTTGTACATTCTAAACTCAGGCAGCACAGTACTATAATTTATTTTCTGTGGGACATCGTATAATGACATAACTTGTAATTTCCATTTTATTTTCCATCTGTAAAATGGGAATACCTAGCATTGGGTTGCTATGATTTAATGGGATAATGCAAATAAAGAATTTGACAAAGTGCCTGGGGCCAAGATCACACCCAATCAATGTTAGTCTCTATGACGAGAAGAAGTAAGTCTTGGTAATAACGCGATTCCTAGATTGAGTATTCTATCATGGATAATGTTAATTCCATTCCAGATTAGAAAAATGCTTTTCAAAACACTGCATACTAGAATGACAATCATGATACTGTGGCATTAAACCACAGTCTATAGTCTCAATGTAGAAAAATAGACAAATATGTCTTGTAAACGTTCATCTTTTTCCACATACCCATTAATTTCAGTTCCTTGCCTGTGCCATTGGGAAAGTGGTTATGTCTTATGTTATGGACTGATTGACTGCCTTTTCATGGTACTTAGATCATCAACTTCACTTTAAATGCAAAAATCC